GGTGGCAGGTGGTCACAGATGGGGTCCCTGAGGGATCAGTCTTGGGCCCAATGCTGTTAAACATCTTCATAAGTGACCTGGATGTTGGGATCAAGAGCACCCTGTTGAAGTTGGCTGATGACACCAAGATGAGTGGAGAGACTGACACTCCAGAAGGGAGAGCCACCCTCCAGGATGACCTAGACAGACTGGAGGAGAAGGCTAACAGAAACCTTATGAAGTTCAAAGGAGAGAAGTGTAAGGTTGTACACCTGGGAACATATACCCCAGGAGTGCCGTTTAGACTGGGATTCACCTGGATGGAGAGCAGCCCTATGGAAAGGGACCCGGGGTCTTGGTGGATAAAAGGCTCACCATGAGTGAACAGTGTGATGCAGTGGCACAGAAAGCCAACAGAATGCTGAGCTGGATCAACAAGGGCATCACCAGCATCATCCCACTCAACTCAGCACTTGTCAGACCACACTTGGACTACTGCATTCATTTTTGGCCCCTGCTCTACAAAAAGGTTGTGGACAGGCTGGAGAAGGTCAAGAGAAGGGCTACAAGGATGATCAGAGGACTGGAGGGCCTGTCATATATGAGGAAAGGCTGAGAAAACTGGGTTTGTTCAGCCTTGAGAAAAGAAGGCTTAGAAACCTTATTACCATGTTCCAGTACATAAAGGGTGGCCACCAAGAAGATGGAGACTCCCTATTGACAAGGAGTCACATGGAAATGACAAGGGCTAATGGGCACAAGCTGCTCCTCGGGAGATTCAGATTGGACAAAAGAGGTAAATTTTTCACCATGAGGACAATCAAACATTGGAATAGTCTCCCAAGGGAAGTGGCAGATTTCCCCACATTGGATAGTTTTAAGTCTCAGTTTGCAGGGTGTTGAGCCATCTTGTACAAATTATAGTAGTACCTAGAAAGGTTGGATCAGATGATCCTGGAGGTCCCTTCCAACCTGTCATTCTGTGATTCTATGAGCTGGAGGACTCAGGCTTTGCCAGTGGCCAGCTCACAGTCACTTTGGTAGGAGCAAGGTCTTACCTTATGATTACATTGCATCCTAAAGGTGGATAGCAAAGTTTTTCCAGCTAAGGGCATGCAGTGGTGAGGTTTGTATGTAAAAACATTGTGAGGTGTCATTTGGAAACCAGATGTGAATACTCTTGTCTATATTGACAGAAACTGAGAAAGAATCATAGAGTACCATCATAAAGCTCATTGGTATAACAGCAGAGAATGTGAATTGGCCACATTCTCTTGCTTACTACCTGCCCTGTCTTTCCCTTCCTTCTTTGGATGACCTGTTTTCACTAGAAGTTGAGAAATTAAATACGATGTACAGAATAAGCTTAAAATGAAAAAGTAATTTTTAAGATATTTCCTCTGCTTCCTGAATCTTTGTAGTGCTGAATCATTGAAATGTTAAAACATGAATGTGTTATGGTATGTTAACCCAGATGAACAGATCGGAGTGTGGCAGTTCTGTATTTAGATCTCAGCTAAAATCGAATTTCTGACCAACATTACACAGAAATAAAGAGAGTCTAGTTTATGTCTTTTTCAGGACAATAACCCACGTGTTTGGGCATTCAGTACTAAAGTTGCTGCTCTGTTTTAATTGAAAAAAAAAAGACCAAAAAAAAGACAAAAGACCCCACCCACTGTTTCCATGTCTACTGTTTAACCCAAACACAACACTGCTGAAACAGGAGAGAGAAATTTTTTTTCCATTCCCATTAAGTGGAAATTTAAATTAGACAAACAGTACTTTTTGAAACCAGCCCTGATAAGAACTCAGCAACTAAATTGGTATAGCTAACTGGAAAAAAAATCAGAATAATGCATATAGGCTGAAATCATTACTAAGTTCAAAGAGGAAGATGTTTGAATTTCAGTATAAACCTTGCTCAAAAGAAGTACTTATTTTCATATTAATTTGATGAAGTCAGAAAGTTGGTTAAAGGATTACTTTTTTCCCCTGCTCAATCGATTTCAAAGCATGAAAACACACAGTTCAATAATAATTAAATAATGAGGAAATTACAGTAATGCTGTATGGGGAAAATAAATCTGGAGGAAACCAAATGCCATTTCATAAACTGTCAGTAGATGGCACAAACATTTAAGAACATTTAAAAGTCTGGGCGTGTCTAAACACAGTAGGATAGATTTACAGGAAGTTTTTGTCTTTCCTGAGTACTTTTTCTGCTTTTTCGGAGAGCAGGAATTTCTGGTGAGAAACTTTTCACTTTGTTGACTTTATGCGGTTGCTGGTTTGCTAAAACTGTTTTCTATCCTGCATTTTATTTGCAAATGAGCCATGTTTTCCATAGAGGGTTATTAGCAAGTGCATGATGTACTTTCAAGTGGGTAAGAAATGAGACTAGAGTTGCTTATGTTCAATAAATTTATACAAGAAGCTGGCCAAATAGCAGTCTCTTTATATTAGCACTGCACCCATAATAAAGGGGTGATTTAACAGAGATAGTTTTTCTGTGGTTCAGGAATAGATCTAACTTGATGGTACTTCTATGAAAGACAGATTTTTAACATTTGAGTTTTGTATTATGCTGATAACTTGCAAAGTGCATGCCTTAATACTGAGCTATGATAGCTCAGTGCTTTCTGTACATTTCTTTTATGAAAGTTTAGTCAGTTTCTATGGAGATTATATTTGAAAAACTTTAAACCATCAATGTTTATCTTTTCTCTTGCTCTTTTACAATTCCTTGCTATGATCTTGGTTTGCTTACCCTATTGGATGGCTTCTCTGCTTATATCTTTATAGTATGCTTTTTGTCAAATTTGAAGTCCTGAGGATACTTCTGAATTAAAAGGGACATGACTACAAAGGATTGTTAATTTTGTTGGATAGGGTATTCTATAGAAAGTTTTAAGATACTTGTAAATAATTAATTTCTACAGTGTTAGCTCCCAGATGATGAGTCCAGTATTGTAACAGTTACAGTTACAGTTGTTAATTTTGTTGGATAGGGTATTGTATAGAAAGTTTTAAGATACTTGTAAATAATTTGATGGAAATGCCAGGATATAACAATGAGAAAAAAAAATTAGGCCTATGTAGAAGACCAGATCCTTTTTTCGTCTAGTCCGTGAATATTGCTAAAATTTTGTTCTAAGAGGTAATAGTTATTTGAAGGTAGATTTTTTTTCTCAGATTTCTGTTGAGGCTACGTATTTTGTTTATTATACACATTAGTAGTGTTGCCCAAACACCTGGAAGAACAGGCTAGAGGGTGCTGATTATCTTTTGTTCTCTGCATATGCCCAAATGCCTTTTGAGGTCTATGATGGTAAAGCTGCATGTAATTTTTCCAAGTAAAAATCTGGAAAAAAGCTGGAAAAGTTTTGCCATATTGCCCCACTAGTTCTAGCTCATTTCCAAGCCTAGTTTGATGCATTCTTTCAAATGAAGAACTCAGTGGACTTTTTAGTGTTGTACTGCTGAGATTTCATAAGATATATTGCTAAGAAAGCTTGTAGAATGGTTAATGGTACAGAAGATGTACTTGTCGAGGTTGTGGGTTTAGTCCAACAAGGGACAGGCATTACTGTCTCATTGTAAAGTCACTAGAAATATAAACTCACAGTTTGGCCATTTCAGTATCAAGGTAAAACTGAAAGCCTGTACAGTCATGGATAAGCATTATGGAAAGCTTTAGAAAACAACTACTATTTAAAAGTAATGGGAAGAAAAGTGTTCCAAAGTAAAGGGGAAAAGTGTTCCAAAGAAACAAAAAAACCCCAATAATTCAGAAATCTTAAACCCAAATTTAATTCAAGATTTACACATATTAAAAATGTTAGCTAAGTTCTTACCAGTTCCTCTTTCAGAAAGGCAGTCTAATGGGTTTATGGCAATATCTAAAAGGACATGTAAGGAAGTGTTCACAGTGACTGACTTAAAGGAAGGCTGGCTGCCCTAAACTCCTGCATTCAGAAAGGAAGCGTGTTCTTCATCAGGGAAAACAGAAGTAAAACCACAATTATGTTTTTTCTCTAAATAGTGTTTAAAAAAGCCTCTCATTCACAACAGAGACATTTGAAGTTAATCTCTTTAGACCAGGGCTAGATTTTGTGCACAGAGGTCCTACAACTGGTATTTTTTGTGTAGAATGCAAGTATTTTCAGTGTGTGTTTGGTGTCCTCTATGTGCACCTAGCAAGTCAGATATAGGGACATATCACTTTCAGAGTCTAAATTCAGGATATGCTCAAGCCCAGACAAGAAGTGAACTCTTCTGTGAACTTCCCCATAACATGAATATAGAACATCCCACCTCCTGCCATGGTCTCCCCAGTTAAATAAGCACTAACAAGCAGTCACAGCTACCTAAAGACATTCAGATTTTGATCCACTGTCTTGAACCTCCATCCGATGCTTCAGTCAAGGTTTTGTAGTCACCAGTCTATTCTGAGTCTGGTTCATATCCTTCAAGAGAGAACCTCAGGAGATGTGAGGAGATGATGACCATACTGACCTCAGATACTGTACTTTCTGATAAAAGGGTATTATATAGTTGTGGGAGGCCTTCATAATACATTGAATCACAGCAGTAATTATAGAAGTAAGCAGCAAATTTTAGTCACCTAGGAAATCAGACATGATTTGTAAGAAACAGCCTCATTATGTATTAAATACAGCATATTTGCCCAATAGAAATTTTGGTGATGTTTAATTCTTTTTAAGAATTCTTAATTAAGAATTCTTAATTATTCTTAATTAAGACATTCTTAATTAAGAGACATTCTTAATTAAGAATGTCTCTCTTGAACAATAATCAGTCCCTTCGTTGCTTTCTGAGTCAAAGGGAGAGATGAGAAATTTGAACCTTAACAATTCAATCTCTGTGATTGTATAGACACTTAATGATATAATATGGGTTTTTTTGTTTTGTTTGTTTGTTTGTTTTGCTACAGGATTGAAACAAAGATGGACAGATAAGAGAAGTATTGAGCCATCTGCAGGGAACCAGAAACCAATATGACAAAAAATAAGAGATCTCTTAGAAACTTTTTTATCTACAAGTGTCTGTTTGCATTAACTGTTTGGAACAATGTCAGTCTGACTGTGGAAAATGAACTCTTTACATCTGTTTCTAATGATTTTCCAGAAGATGGTTCTGACAAAAAAATTAAGACCCTGCCACTCCTGTATGCAAATACTCATCAGCCCAAAGCTAATTTTGACTGGGTTGTGATACAAAATACTACAGAAAGCCTGTCATTGTCAGAAATCACAAATGATAATGTAGAACAATTAGTAGCTTTGTTATCTAATTTCAGACAAGGCTCCAGGTTGCAAAATCTGACACTGACAAATATGTTAGTGGACTGGAAGTATCTTATTGACATTTTTCAGACTGTATGGCAGTCATCCATTCAATACTTAAATATTAACAATGTAACACAATTATCTGACGTTAAAAGTTATCGCTTCGATTATGCAGGTACCTCTTTGAAATCACTGACATTGAAGAAGATTTTAATCACAGATCTGTACTTCACACAAGATGACCTGTACAGAATATTTGCAGACATGAATATTGCAGCCTTGACAATAGCTGAATCAGAGATGATACATATGCTGTGCCCTTCATCTGAAAGTCCTTTTAGATACTTGAATTTTTTAAAGAATGATTTAACAGATCTTCTTTTTCAAAAATGTGACAAGTTAACTCAACTGGAAACGTTAATCTTACAGAAGAATAAATTTGAGACCCTTTCCAAGGTGAGCTCCATGACCAGCCATATGAGATCACTGCAATATCTGGACATGAGCAGCAACCTGCTGAGCCACAACGGAGCTGATATGCAATGCCAATGGGCTGAGTCTCTGGCAGAGCTGGACCTGTCCTCAAATCTGTTGTCAGATTCCGTGTTTGAGTGCTTGCCAGTCAACATCCAAAAACTGGACCTACGACAAAATCAGATCACCAGTGTCCCCAGGGGGATGGCTGAGCTGAAGTCCTTGAAAGAGCTGAACCTGGCGTCCAACAGGCTGGCCGCCCTGCCGGTGTGCAGCGGCTTTACGTCCCTGGAGTTCCTGAACGTAGAGATGAATTTGATCCTCACCCCACCTGCTGGCTTCTTCCAGAGCTGCCCGCGGGTCAGGGAGCTCCAAGCCGGGCACAACCCGTTCAAGTGCTCCTGTGAGCTGCAGGACTTCATCCGCATGGAGCGGCAGTCCGGGGGGAAGCTGTTTGGCTGGCCGGCAGCCTACGTGTGCGAGTACCCACAGGAGCTGCGGGGAAGGTTTGGCTGGCCGGCACCCTACGTGTGCGAGTACCCGCAGGAGCTGCGGGGAAGGCAGCTGAAGGACTTCCACCTGAGCGAGCTGGCCTGCAGCACAACGCTCCTGCTGGTGACAGCTCTGGGGCTGACGCTGGTGCTGGTGGCCGCCGTGGCCTTTCTGTGCATCTCGCTGGACGTGCCGTGGTACGTGCGCATGACCTGGCGCTGGACGCAGACGAAGCGGAGAGCGCGGCACAACCGGCCCGCCGAGCAGGCGGCCGCGCTGCAGTTCCACGCCTTCATCTCCTACAGCGAGCGCGACTCGTTGTGGGTGAAGAACGAGCTGATGCCCAACCTGGAGAAAGGGGAGGGCTGCGTGCAGCTGTGCCAGCACGAGAGGAACTTTGTCCCCGGCAGGAGCATCGTGGAGAACATCATTAACTGCATTGAGAAGAGCTACAAGTCGATCTTTGTCTTGTCTCCCAACTTTGTGCAGAGCGAGTGGTGTCACTATGAGCTGTACTTTGCCCATCACAAGTTATTTAGCGAGAATTCCAACAGCTTGATCCTCATTCTGCTGGAGCCCATCCCTCCGTACGTTATCCCTGCCAGGTACCACAAGCTGAAGGCTCTCATGGCAAAGCGAACCTACCTGGAGTGGCCCAAGGAGAGAAGCAAGCGGCCCCTTTTCTGGGCTAATCTGAGGGCAGCTGTTAGCATTAACTTGCCAATGTGTGATGGAAGAAGGTGTGAGGAAACAGATTAAGAATGTCTCTCATGGAGTTTCTTCTGGTTTTGCTTGGTGAAGCAATAAACAACTATTTCCATTGGTTGTCAATGTATGTCACGTTTTGTTACAGAGCCATGTTTCTACCTAGTTTTCTGTATGCAAAATTCAAAAAAGAGAGGAAAGATAAACTACTTCACCTTTAGGGGCTTATAATTTTGCAGTGCTGTGAGGGGGAAGCAGTGGATTGACAATTGGAATTCTAATTCCTATCCCCTGGCAGAGTCCTTGTACCATTTTGATCCTGAGTGGTACTCTGACTAAAGGGACTGAGTGGGTGTCTTTCTGCAGTGACATCTGGAACAAGTCTGTCACCCTTCATCATCATTGGCTACATCTTGAGAAACCCTTGACTTCTCTGCTTTATGCTTCTCCCCCTCACCCCCCTTTTTTTCTTCTCACCCATAGGTCTTATTTTTGCTTATTATTATTAAAAAAAATAATAAATCTGTCCTTTTCAGCCAAAACAGTATATTTTGCAGCATAGCTATGAGTTCTGATAAGGGAGGCAATAACCAGTCAGAGGCTGAAAAATTTTGCCCATCTTGGGACAAAAGGTAAGAACCTGTATTCATGGATTAAGAAAGAAAAGCTATATTTACAATATTTTGTCTCCTTTATGGAAATACAGCTGTACCTCTACCTGTGCTTGTGCTATTTTGCCTTCAAAAAAACATGTCTGGGCTCTGACATTCACAAGTGCTAAAGAGGATCACAGCATATTTGATCTTTCCCCTCAGAAGGGGAGGTGTTTGCCATCTGAAATACCAGACTTAGATGACCAGCAAGCAGGAAGTTTTCCTTTCAAAAATATGTTTTGACCTGAAGATGAGAGAAGAAGGGATGTCAAGATGAAATCCTCATTTAGTATGGAATGATTTACATTTTATCTCATTCTTGTATTTCATTATTGTTAACAAAATATATTAATTTTTTTTCTTGAGGTCTAAGCAGGCTGAGGCCTCTTGATTTGAAGTCTTGAAGTCTGAGCCACTGTTTAATGATTTGTAGGGAATAGGTGAAATTTAACACCTTTAGCTTTCTCATCCCACTTAGCCTCAAAATTAATATAGCACAAGTATTACCAAATTGCAGGCATTTCCTTCAGAACTGCAGAAATAAATGTTTTCTGTGCTTCTTCCTTCCTCTCCAACTAATGCTTCAGTGACTTATTCATTTAGCCGTTTGAAAACTGAAGATGAACAGACTTGGTTTGCCTGTCCCTTTCACAAAACCAGGGACAGACAGATTGTTACACGGTGGCTTGTGTGAAAATTTTCTTCAAATTCCCCAGAGTTTTAGGTTAGCAGCCCTTGCAACTTTCGTAATGTGTGTGAAGCTTTAAGAACTCGTATGTCTTCTGTTGGCTGGAGGAAAGAGAAACCCTCTGAAATTCAGAGCGTGCACCAGGAATCCTTCCTGTTACTGAGGTGGGAGTCCATGGCTGCTGCCAGAAGTGAATCATTTCTTACAGGAGAGGAAGTTTTTAGCAGGGGGTTGCTTGGAAAGAACTTGGAAACTATATGACCTTTGGCAATGTAACTAATGTGACCATAAGCAGAAATACATAATTACAGGTTTCTGATGTAAGTCCAAAATCCTTTTGTGAATTATATTGTAAAGGGAGGCTTGTAATGAGCATGGGTATAAATTAAAACTTGTACTTTGGAACTAGAAGCCCACATACTATTAGATTTTTGTCCATGCTATGTGCCAGGCAATTGACTAAACAGGTACACATACAGTGAGTTACTGGATCTAGTTTCTCATATTTCACAGGAGAGAATGAGTTTCTCAAGGGATGCATATCAGAATATTTCAAACAATTATTTTAGCCTCTGCCATACTGTGAACACTTTCTATGAAAGCACTTTTGTCCAGGAAGAATTTTTTCCCATGCATGGAGCCATGTCTTAGTCTGAACACCCTGTGTCAGCCACTTTACCTGCACACTTTGGAAAGTAGCTGCCCTTTTCTGTGCACATGGTGATGTGAGTCAGCAATTAGTCCTGCACTGAATGCTATATGCACTCCATGTGTCGGGAAAAGGGAGTGTGTAAATATATTCTGATGTCAGATACCATATCAGAACAGATTCCTGGCATTTGACTAGTCATCTTAGTGACTAGCAGAAATGCTGTTTTTACATAGATAATAATATCAACATACCAAACTGATAACATAGGGGTTAAACACCCTCCAAGACAGAAAATGTGCAGAAAGAAGTGAAAGTGCAAATGTTTTTAGGTATATTTAACTAGTGTGTAGGATAAAGGAAACTGAATCGCAAAATAATGGGAGTCCTGACACAATGTGAGTTGCCCCGCTGATGAGCTTGCTCTTATTTTTTTAGACTTAGAAGTGTTACAAAGCATCAGCACTGAAGCTCAGTTGCAGAGGGTTACAGCAGGGAAAAGAACAGGACTCCACGTTAGGTGAGGCAGTCTGCTGAGGGGACGGTTCAAAATTCCTGTGAAACCTGTGTTTTACTCAGGGATTTAGTTTGGCTGTTTTTTTCTTTCAGAAACACTTACCAAGATTGACTATAATTTTTATTTGTAGTCGTTGTTCAGGAAGGACTATTGCTAAACCAATAAATGCGGAAGTTCTGTGTTCTGCGAGGTGTTTCTGTCTTACCAGTTGGATCTCCACAGCTTTGATCCTTGTGTCTGTTTATGCTGAAGCAAAATAAACTTGGGCATAAATCCAGACAACCTCTGCTCACTTTGACTTGGAGTGGCATTTAGCAGTCATTTTGCCTGCTTGACACAGAGAGTTATGTTGTGACAATGAGAGTTACAGTTGAAGATAAGGTCTTCAAGATGACCAAACACAAGGCTTTGCACCCCTTAATAATTGCATTCACTTTTCATGAGTGCTTGGATGAGTCCATCTGCTCTGGCTACGTTTTAACTCCGTGTTTCACATAGAAGTTCTGCTCTGCAGTTCTAGTTGGAGAGATTCTTCACGCTGTGGACATAGTGCTGGTCCTGAACAGCTTCTGATGCCCAGCCAGGTGTAGCTGCAGTTCCTCTCTGAGTAGGTAAGGCAGAAGTGTGAAATGTACCTTGAGGAAAGGGGGTTTATGAAATTATATGCTCTTTGATGGTATCAGCTCCAAAAAACCCCAGCATTATAAACTTCAGAAGAGGAACAAGGTATCTGTGTGAGTGTACACATGTTGAGTGTGGAAGGGATGGCATTTAGCACGTATATTCAGGAGGCATAAACAGAAATACACTGCTTTTTAGTTTTTGCCTATCATGCAAAACAGTTAGCAAACCAAAACCAGTCCCAAACAAAGTTTTGCTGAGCTGGTTGGTAAAAATAACATTATTCAATGTTTCTAATTATTTATCAGAGGTAGTCAGGTGTATCAGTTTTATCATAACTAGTTGCAAATAATTTTTTCTTTTTTAATGGAAAACTGTATATTTAAGTGTATTTTAAAGTCTCATTCAGAAGGGTAGTAAGTAAATTAAATATACTACAATTAAAGTTGTAGATGTCCTCCCTCTGGAAGCATTCAAGGCCAGGCTGGAGCAGGCTTTAAGCAAATCAGTCTAGTGTGAGGTGTCCCTGCCAATGCAGGGAGGTTTCAGCTAGGTGATCTTTAAGGTCCCTTGCAACACAAACCATTCTGTGATTATGTGATAAAGGTGACACTTTTGCTTTTTACAGCTGTATACACACTGGAGTCAGTTCTGACAAAAGCTGATGTATTTCATTATATCCATGCAGCAAAGATTTTTCATGGATTATGTTGGAAGTAAAGCTGCTGCTGATCGGTGTAATTTAGTTCTTGATTTGATTGTGATATTATTGTTCTGTCAACAAATGCTGTAGTCCTTTAAGTTTCATGGATTAATGCTCAGCATTGTGAACTTTGTCCTTATCTTGAAGAAAAGACAGGATCAGCTGACAACCAGACTCTTGCTGCTTACTGTGAAACATTAATGAACCTCAGTCTTGTCGTGGATCACAGATGTCTCAGAGTTTTCTGTAACGTGTTACTCATATTTGCTGCACCAAGGAAAGAAGAGTGGTTTCAGTTCAGTTTCAATTCAGACTTACTTATGAATCTCAAAATGAAGCCCAGAGATTTTCTTTCAGCAAAGTAAAGGGTTAAATTCTTCTTTACAAAAGTGAAAAGGCGATTGCAAAATAAAAGTTTCAAAGGGATCTCATGGAAGCCTGAAATACAGCTGGCACTGCTGTCTAGAATAAATTTTCATACTTCTCAGCTTCTTTAGCTGAATCCCTTCTTGCCTTCCACTCTCCTCCAAGGCACTGTTTTATGTCATGGAGTAAACTCTAGTCTGAGTCCGGAGTGGGCCCAGGTGCCCCCTCTTCCCCTAGCTTGCTCATACTTGAAGAATTTTTGCATACTTCATTAATTTAATATTAAAATTAATTAAGATTAAATAAATCTTCATTCCTGTATTCATCTCTTTCTTCCATGCTAATTATTGTTACTGAAGCATGTTGTATTAGTTGGGAAGCTTATGGGAGCCAGCTGTTGGTTTTGCTTATTTACATCTGCCTTTGCAATGCACTCGCTCTCTGCTCTGTTGACTTGCTTGCTAGGCCCTTGAACCTGTTCAAGACATTAGTTGAACAGCTGCTTTATTTGATTCATCCGTTCCCAGACTGGCCTATATTGCTGTGTTCTTGACAGCTTTCATGTCATTACAGCTACTGTATCTAGTTAATTTTTTTTTTTTTTTTTAAGGAAGCTACATAGAATCATAGAATGGTTTGGGTTGGAAGGGACCTTAAAGATCATCTGGTTCCAACCCCCCTGCATGGGCAGGGACACCTCCCACTAGATCAGGTTGCTCTAAGCCCCATCCAACCTGCCCTTGAACACTTCCAGGGATGGGACTTCCACATCTTCCCTGGCCAACCTGTGCCAGTGCCTCACCACCCTCACACTGAAGAATTTCTTCTTAATGTCTAACATAAATCTTCCCTCTTCC